AAAAAACCCATGCATAGATAGATAGATAGTGATAGATAGATATGATAGATAAGATAGTAATAGATAGATAGATAAGATAATTGATCAGATTGAGATCCTCCACTTTTGACTTTGACCCATCACAGTGACAGAAAGACTTCCCAGTGCAGATTGACAACCATGCAAAAAGAAATGAAAAATTGTTTAATATTTTCTGTTTAATTTCTATCTATCTATCTATCTATGCAGTTGGGTTTTTTGTGGAACCCCAGTGACATCATCCTGAAGGTTTAGACCTCACTGATCCTGGATCAGTCTCTGTTTACACTCTGCTGCCCTCCAGTGGAGACCTGCTGTCACTGCAGAATCCATTTGATGATTGGACTATGGTCTGATGTGGGTCTACAACAATTTTATGTGGGTCCATTTAGATCTAATGTGGGTCAGTGACTGCTGTTTATTAGCTATATGGCAGGAGGTGTAACTCTTTTCTACATGTCATTTTTATTTTATTTTGTTTTTACATTCTGCTTTTGAAAAATGAAATGTAGATAAAAAGTTTGTTGTGGTGTTATGAGGGTTTAATGGGTGATTACTGAGACCTGACTGAATTTCCTCCTAGTTTTTTATATTACTGGTATTGGCTCTGGTGAATATTAATAATATAATAATACTTTTAGTAGGGAATTCAAATTGACACAGCAGCACAGGAGAAGAATAAAGAAAATAGAATAAAATAGAATAAATACAATAAAAAGAATAATATATGCACTATTTGCAGTAAATACATTATATTACAGCAATGTAATGTAATGTTTTTTCTAATATTTACTTCTACAGAACATTTTGTGCAAAGCTGCTGCCCAGCGTGCTTCACAAATAGGACTGAAGCAACGTTAGGCCAAAAGCACAAATGAAAATGAACTTTACGCAATCTTCCAGCGGCTGGAGAGAAATCAATATCATCATTTATTCTGGTACAACTTACTAAATAATGCAATAATATGATAAAATAATAATAAATAATACATAAACAGGAATCAGTTCTATAAATACCAAAGATAAAAAGGAGGAGATTTGAGTTCAGCTGCAGTGGAAGTCTTTGTGTCTCTGTAGCTGAGACCACCCAGGAGTGAACTCTGTGATCTCAGGTGTGTTCATCAGGAGAATAAAAGCTGGTTCCTCTCTGCTGAACATGAAACGTCCTTCTGTTCGCTCAGGAACCTCAATGCACCTGGACCACAGCCAGGAAACGTACACCTGATTTTACCTTAGTTGTTGTGTGGGCAGCAGGTGAACTGTGCCAGGATCAGTTCTATACCTGACATCACCTGAGTTACCTGTATTTCACCTCAGTTTAATTCAATTCAGTTCAATTTTATTTGTATGGCACCAATTCATAACAGAAGTTATCTCAGGACTCTTGATAACTTCTGTTTACCAAATTATCAATCGTTGAGCCGACCCGGGATCTGTTATACACCTCATGAGATCTACCTGTGTTTTCGACCTCTGCAGGGTGAATCAGGTTACCCTGGATACGACGGACTTCCTGGAGTGATTGGTTACCCTGGCGTCGAAGGCCACCAGGGCTCATCTGGAGAAAAGGTAACATTACATTTGTATACTAATGTTAATAAGAGGTTATTATTATTGTTTAAACAGACGGTGGAGTTCCTCAGGGTTCTATCCTCGGTCCTCTCTTTATTTTGAAAACACGTTACCAAAAGACTCTGAAGTTATGATATTTTGTCTGCCTGATTGATATCTCAGTTTTAATTACAAACTCAATCATGTGACTTTACATTTATCTACTGAAATTTTGCTAAATCCAATTATCTCAATTTTATTTTTAACGTTTCAAACATCGGTTGTACTGCCGTCTTATTTAGAGAAAGGTTTTTATTTGTTTCCAGATACACAATGACTTTAAAGATGATTTACAGTATTTATTGATTTTCTATCAGAGGTGTAAATATTATTATCATAAAAGGTGAATATTATTATCATAAAAGGTGTTTAAAGTGCTGTATATGACTATCAGATTAGATGTTTTTTGTTAGTCTTTTCACTGTTTCAACAATCACCAACTCTGGTTTCACAGAGTTGGATGAGAAATGATCTGAAAAGGGCTGCAATGGTTGCAACTTAAATTAACATCATGATCCTTGGTGCCATCAAAGTGCGTCCACTAACAGTAGTTGTTTCTGCCACTGACAGACTCAGGTTGTTATTTTCAGTGTCTCACAGCATTATGGAAAGGATCCCTACAGAGACAAACCTATTTTAACCTCTCCTTGTTGTTTTTTGTCCACAGGGTAACCAGGGACCAGCAGGAGGTCCAGGACTGAAAGGCTCTCGGGTATGACTGATGATGATGATGATGATGAAGAATCATTAATATCTGTGACTTGAGCATCATTTTAGTCACATTTATCAAATTCATCCTGACAAATGTGATATCTTTGTGAAGTAAATACAGATTAAATGAGTGAAGGATCTGTTATATAAAGGTAAACATCAGTTTATCTCAATGTCTTCTCCAGGGTCATCCAGGAAAACCAGGTTTCCCAGGACCTCCAGGATTGCCGGTTAGAAAATTTTTTTAACATTCAGAGAACATAACGAGAATTCAAAGCATAGAGATAATTTAGATTGTGTTTAATCATTTTATGAAAACATTTTCTGCGCTTTCTCAGGGACTCCCCGGACACGAAGGACCCATAGGCCAACTAGGACTCCCAGGATGCAACGGGACAAAGGTAGAGATGATTACCTGCGCACGGGATCATCATATTTTAATAAAGGCAGTTTGTCGCAGGAGAGAGGGCAGAATTGTGCCCTGGGGTACACCAGTAGTAAGTTTTGCAGACAATGAAATGAAACTGAAAGCTCTGTTTATTACAACGTGATTATTGAGGTAAGTAAAGACATCAGAGGTTGAAATACAACAACAGGACTATCAGGCAAGATGACATAACCAGGATTTCCATGGCTGTTTTTACCTTTGACCCAACATCACAACATTACAGTGATTGATGTATTGATTGTTGTCTTCCAGGGGGATGTTGGTCAACCAGGGTACCCCGGGCCTTCAGGACCTGCCGGCTTTCCAGTAAGTCCTGCCTACTTCCTGTACAAAGCAGTGATGGAATGCCGTGAGGACTTCCTGTAGAACCTGTCAGTCATTTGGTGAAAACGGGTCAGGTATCATCAGAAAGCTGGGAACCTTGAGATTTAATTAAGAGGCAGCTCAACTCTGTATGTCAACTGTTTCTAGTCAAAAATATGTTATACAGGTTTAGCGTGTATAACATTATAGCTGAAGTATATGATGGTCATCCCATGCTCAGTTATGTCTCAAAAGTTGTTCCAGACACCTTTGGGTCGATATCATTTTTACACAGATTTGGGTTCAAAATCTAACAGTTTTTGACCACTCAAAAATGGGTCCGTCCAAAATACCACATTAAGACACAAAAATCTGTGGAATACCATAAAAAAACTAATTCTGTAATTTGGTATCAACAACTTTTGACATTTGGAGATTTCAGTAAGTATTGCAATTTTTGGCAATTGGATTACAAGCACTTCTGTTCAGGAAATTGACCCTTCCTAAGTCCCGCCCCTTTTTGCTCTGTGCTCCAATAACAGTTAAACAAGCCTCGGTCAACCTCCTCGTTTCCTGTACTTGGATAAACTATGTGCTAGGCTAATCTATGTTAGAAAGACATCCACATTTTGGAGAGGTTAAAAACAAAAGAGACACACACACGTATAGTCACATCTTAAGTTAGCTAGTTAGCAAAATACTCCCTAATCTACATCAATTGTTAGCTTACTAGTCATATCTGAAAGCTAATGTTAGCGAAATACTAGCTAACTTGCAAATGATATATTATATTTATCTTTTAACCATCTTCAAAATGTCATTGTCTTTTCAACAAGCAGAAGAGGAAGTTGAGACTTAGGAATGGTTGCTCAGAAACCCCCTTATTGTCAAAACCTTTCAAAAAAACAAGATTCTCACTGTAATGAAATGGCTAATATGGGGACGATCATCATAACACATGAATATCTTGAGGTCAGAGGTCAAAGGACCCTTTTGAAGACCATGCCAGTTTTTCACTCATCTAAATTTAGCTTTACTGGAGCGTAATTTAGCCCCGAAAAACAAGCATGACAACTAGCCGATACAGCTTCTAAAAGACATCAGTAACGTAGGCCAAAGACGTCGCCGACTTCGTGAAGTTGAAGAGGTTAATCGCTGCAGGCTGAAGCTAAGCTAGGCTAATTAGCTCAGAGAACTAAAGCTAACTGTGTTCTGTGTTTCAGGGTGAACCAGGACTGCGAGGTGAAATGGTAAGACCTGAACACATTCACATACTGTCACTGTCATAAAACCATCTATCTCCAATTCTAGTCTTTTTTACTTTTTTGTAAAATAAATAAAAACTTTTTTTTGTTTTACTTGAACCACACATGGAGTTAATATCCGAGCTAACAGCTGAAACTGTACAGCTTCAAAGTACAGTGTTACTGTGTTGAATATTAGTAAATATTTATAGCTGCAATTTATATTGAGAACAAAATGGATACATTTTTGTCTTTATCGTGTGGGAGATAGTAGAGAGGTGACAAGAAATTTGGGGAGGTGAGGGCTGACATGCAACACGTCTGTTTCTGTTTCTTTAAAGGTAATACACCAGCATCTCAGACCAAAATAATGGGCGCTACGACCCACCAGACTCCACTGACAAAACCAGTAATTTTACCTAAGATATAGGCTAACACACAAAAGTGGACAGAAACAGAATAAAACCGTCTCTTTTAGTGTTTCCAACAATCGCCAACTCTGGTTTGGTGGAAATAAATACTTAATTCACCAACGTATTGACGTAGAAACAGCAGTTTCAGTCGGAGCAGAACGGCTATGGAAACAAACCACAGAGAGGCTGCGATACAACACAGGAGAGACACCATGTGACTCTGTGTCTTTATAACAGATATATTAATGTTTATAATCTCATACATAACCTTTAAAGGCTTGTTGTTTCTAAGTGTCTATTTCTGGTTTCAGGGAGACTCGTTCGTCTTTCCCGTCCCTCAGGAAATTATTGGAGTGACAGGACCACAAGGACTGGATGGAGAAAATGTCAGTTGTAACCCAGCAGTGTTGGTGGAGAATTCGATCCAGACGTTTCCTCTAGAAGCTGTTATTGTGTCTCTAAATTTACTCCTGAGATTTACTGCCATATTTTTGGAGATGTGATTGATATAATTAACACTTGATCAGTCCATGAATGAACACAGACTGACTGTCTGTTTGTGTTGCAGGGGCTGACTGGAGATCCAGGTGAACCAGGCCTGCCAGGACCAATAGGATCCTTCGGACTTCCTGTATGCTTGAGATCTAAAACTTTATTTAAATGTTTTCAGTGATCAATGGTTCAATCAACAGTTCATAAGCTGTTTTTTTTTTAATTCAGGGACGTCCAGGGTTGCCGGGGTTACCAGGAGAGAAGGTTAGTACGCTAACTGATCTGGGATTTTTTTTTTACCCTTTCTAAGTCCTGCTCCTTTTTGCTATGTGCTCCAATAACAGTTGAGCTAGCCTCGGTCAACTTACTGTACTTAGATATGCTAGGCTAATCTATGTTGAAAAAACAACCACATTTTGAAGATAGTTAAAAAGATAAAATAAATCTTAATGAAGCAAAATGCTAGCTACAGCGCTAGCTTTGAAAAAACTTTATTTATAACCACACGCATATAACAAAATGAAAAAGACAAACAAAACAAACAAAATAAAACCTACTAAGAAACACTAGCTAACAAGCTAATAGCAATTATCACTAATTTGGTACCACATTTTGAAGATTGTTAAAAGAGTCACATCTTCAGTTAGGTAATGTTAACCAAACGCCAGCTAACTAGCTAAGTTATCTACTGCTAGGTATCTAGGTAGCTTTAAAAAAAAGAATGACAACCACACACATATAACAAAACAAAACACATTACTAACAACCAGAAAGGGGCGGGGCTTAGGACTTGTTCGCACAAGATGGGGAAATATCTTTTCTGGACTTTGAGGACTACGATTGTTCGGTGCTGATGATGTTGTGTTTTTGTTTCAGGGTCAAGAAGGTCCTAGTCCAGTGATCCCGGGTCCCCGAGGTCAAAGGGTGAGCTGATAATAATGCTAATGCTAATGCTAATGCCAATTCACAGGTTATAAAGTCAAATCACCTGTGATATAAGACGGACAACATCAGTAAACAATTATACCTAATGAAACGCCATCGCTATCTTCATCACCACCACCACCATCATCATCATCATCATCATCATCATTACCATCAGCTGTGTTTGGTTTTCAGGGTGATCGCGGTCCGCCAGGGATTCCTGGACAGAAAGGAATCAAACTGTACGCTACAGGACCCAAAGAACTGAAGGTCTGTGTGTCTGTCTGTCTGTCTCTCTCTGTGTGTATGTGTGTGTGTGTGTCTGTCTGTCTGTAGCTGTCTGTGTCTGTGGCTGTCTGTCTGTCTGTCTGTCTGTCTGTGTCTGTGGCTGTCTGTCTGTCTCTCTGCACTGATGTTTTGTCTTGTTATATTTCAGGGAGAACCAGGTGAAGTCGGACAGAAAGGTTGTCGTGGATATCCTGTAAGTGGAAGCCATCTCACAGACTGAAAACCTGTCTGTCTGTCTGTCTGTCTGTCTACAGCAACGAAAAACCCTGATATTTAATATATGAAATATTATTTGAAATGTTTGATTGTTGACCGTTGTGCATTTGTTTTGTCCTCCAGGGCGTGGCAGGGAAACTGGGGGTTAAAGGAGCGAAGGGCGAGCGAGGTGATCTGGGCTCAGAAGTAAGAGAGAGAGAGAGTGCTAATTAACAATAGCATGGATCAACAGAGAGTTATTGATCTGAATATTGTTTTTATTGTTACCGTTCTATTTACCTGATCTATTTACCTGATCAGAAACCTGAACAGGTGTAAACCCGGTCTGACATGATTGGTTTCTGTGTTTCAGGGTAAACCCGGGAAGGATGGACTCCCAGGAGAGCTGGGCCAACAGGTAACATGCTAAACTAACAGGAAAGCTAACCTTGCTAATATAAACAATCTACTTTCTGGAAATAACTCCCGCTGTGTGTCTGCAGGGAAACCCGGGGGATCGTGGGTTCCTCGGTCCTCCAGGTATCGATGGAGCAAAGGTGAGTACTGTTTGAGGTACAGGAAGTATTACTGCAGTAATAAAGGAAGTATTACTGCAGTAATAAAGGAAGTGTTACTGCAGTAGTAAAGGAAGTGTTACTGCAGTAATAAAGGAAGTATTACTGCAGTAGTAAAGGAAGTGTTACTGCAGTAGTAAAGGAAGTGTTACTGCAGTAGTTCACTCAGTACTGTGTCACAGTCTCTATGATGTGTGTGTTTTTAGGGGGAGAGAGGGGATCGTGGTTTTCCAGGTCTTCCAGGAGAGGTAAGTTTGGATTATTTTCTTTCTCTGCGCAGTAAAACAGGAAGGAAGGCCCATTCTACCAAAATAAGTGCTGAAATACAAATACCCAATACTTCCTGTTTCATTGTTTACATCTAAATTCGACGCCACGGATACACTATTAAACAAAACCTTACAAATTACAGGCTTCATAATAAATCATTAACATCTTTTTTTTACTTTTCTGAGCAGATTTGAGGTGAACTGGTAAAAATCTGTAATCATTTTTTAGAATAAAAATACAGTTTTTAGCTTTAATTTGACATAAAATATATTTTGTTGTTCTATGTTTAATTTAAGTTATTTACACTGTAAAAACAATGCAATGATCTATAAATACAGGTGAAATCTGCTATAATACAAATAATTAGGCTTACATTTACAGCAGAGTGCTGTTATTATTTGATTTTTCTTATTTTAATCTGAATGTTAAAAGTTATAGAACTGTAATAAAAGTCATTATGTGTGAAATTACAGTAATTATTGCTGTTACCAGACTGATAAAACTGATATGGACAATTTACCCAATGCTTATACACTGTAACAAACATTTATTCAACTTCCATCATTATACAAGATATCTGTCAGTTAACAAACTAATATATTCTACTGTTAATGTCAAAACTATTTCATCATTTTAGAAATGTTTTTACAGTATTAAACTTGAATTGAACCATTAAATCTATTAAATAAACATTAATAATATAATACAATAATAAGCAGCAATTTTAATAGATTTTTTACAGTTACAGATTTTTCACGTTATTTTACAATATATATCTATATATGTAGATATTTATTTATATGTATTTAAAAAATACAAAAAATCTGTCAAGAAATCCTGTAAATGTAGAGATTTTTTTTACAGTGTACGTGTTTGTGTGTTTTTATCAGACGGTCTGGAATCATAGATTCCTGAAGGGCCAGCACGGTGTCCCCGGGTCCCCTGGATCCCGCGGACTCCCCGGAGAACAAGGTAGTCCAGAGATAAACATGAAGGATTAAAAAAACTTTACAGGTTCAGATTTATTTCTTGTTAATGGTCGGATGTTTTATTTGTGTGTAGTTTTCATTGTTAGTGGTGGAGTCCGCCTTTACGCAGGATCGTGACTTATCCATTTTATCTTAAACCCTGCAGAGATAGAATTCAGGATAAATTGTGTATGAAATTAAGTGTTTTTATTGATGAGCGGGTTTAGCCAATGGATGGATGGACAGTAATATTCTTCTTCTTCTCTGCTTGCTTTCAGGACTTATTGGTTTTCCAGGACTGCCAGGCGAACCAGGTATTATGTTGTTGATGGGTCAATGGTCAAATAACAATCAATAATGAATAAGAATATTCAGATCACACAGTATTTAGTCAGATAAATCCGGGTGGATGTGTTTACTGTCATAAATTTTTGTGTTTGTATATTCTGTTATATTCTTTGTTGCTTATACTGTTCACTTCTACTGATGACAATGTTGTCTGTGCTGTTCACTGTTTGATTATTTGATTAATTAATAATCTTTAACAGTAATAATAATATACCTTTAACAGAGAAATCTAATTTTGATAGATTAACATTTTAAATGTTTTGTTATGTTGACACTGTATGTGTAAAAATAATAATAACAGCAAAATCAACCATTTTCTCCTTACAGAATACAGAAATTATTCTAAATAATTGTTATTTGACCAAATAATAATCTTTAATATGTTGGATCTGTTGGAACAAATTTATGTTCCAGGACGGAATCTCCTGATGTTTGGGATGTTATTTATTTATTTATTTATTTATTTATGTATTTATTAAACCCAATGGGAAACCTCAAACTAACTGACGCACAGTCAACCTGAGGCAGATTAGTGCCCCAGTGCAAAAATACTTGTTCTGTTTTGTATGTTGGAGGCTTAATATTTTGACCCAGGACCCATTAGTGGATTAATTTGGGTCTGATCACCCCAAAAAATATACATTTTGAGTAATAAGTGAACTTGAAACTGTCTCCCTCCAGACGTCAGGGCTGTAATGACTGTCTGTTCTTCTTCTTTTAAGGTGTGGTTTACGCTGGTCCACCGGGCCCTCCGGGGCCGCCTGGCTCAACTGGAGCCAAAGGAAATCCAGGAGACCCAGGACCTATGATCGTTGGTCCTCAAGGACTGGATGGAGTCCCAGGAAGTCCTGGACCTGAAGGAGAACCAGGAGAACCGGGAATACCAGGTAATGTTCTGTCTCCTGTGTTTCTCTGTCAAGGTCTTGAGAAGGTTTTGTGGTTTTGGAAGTCTCTACAGGTCTCTGATCTACAGTCAGTCACACTCTTGAGAAGATGTCTGTTTGGTTGTGATCATGTGGCTAGCATAGCTTAGCAGGGGGAATCTGCTAGCTTAGCAAAAAAAATTCACCTTCCAACAACTACAAGTCTGTCTCATTATATTTTCGTCTTCTGTCTGTCAGGTTTTGTGCAGGGAGGCATTGGTCCTCCAGGAATTAAAGGTCCAAAAGGACAGACAGGATTTCCTGGAACAAGAGGGGAGAACGGAAAGACAGGTGAGTGGGTGAGGTGAATGGGGAGTCACCTGGCCTCGAGTGTCACTCAATTGTTTAAAACAACAGATTTCCAATGGAAGTTTTGAAAGGGATTTTTAAGAAAGATATTAGCACATTCTTTACAACAGGATCTATAATAATCAAGAAATGTTTTACCATATTTAAACACAGACATTAGACAGAGCTAATTTAAGAGATAGGTTACATAACTGATAGTTATACTGATACAGCTGATTGTTTTACAGGTGAAAAGGGGGACATTTGCTTGGTCTGTGAAATTGTTTTCAGCCCCTCCGGAGCTCCAGGTAAACCAGGAGAGCCAGGTGAAGACGGGGTGGCAGGTAAGAACCACATCTGACACCTGATATAGATCCATTACATACCAGTGTAAAAGTAGTTTGTTATTGTAGTTTTTAGTTATTTAATTTCCTACAAATTGTCTCAAATTGTCTTAACTTTAGCTGTAAACGACTAAGTCCCATTATTACAGAATAATGAAACTTTAAACCTGTTCACAGTGAGCAGACCAGCTGACAGCTGCGATGTCATTCTGTTTACAGGTTCACCTGGTTTTCGAGGACCCAAAGGTTACAAAGGGGTCAAAGGGGTCGTAGGACCACCTGGTCCACAGGTGAGCTCGCTGATCACCTCCCTAAGCTCTCCTATCACAGGTTCTTGTGATGCTTCCCTTATCTCGCCGCAAATTTTCAGTCAGCAAAGTGTGATTCGGTCAGCTCCTTTCCATCTTCAAAAATGTCTTCCGAGACTTCTCGATCACCTAATATTCCTCTATCTCTGTCTAGAAAATCTAAAACAAGAAATCGTCATTTGTAAGGCACTTACAGAAGAAGCACTTACTCTCAAATTCTTCTACTAGATCTACTGTGGTTTGAATTATACCTCATTTGTACGTCACTTTGGACAAAAGCATCTGCAAAATGCGTAATTGTAAATGATGCTGCATGTGTTTAAATCTTTAAAAAAGCAAAATTACTAGGGGTGTGCATCTCTTCCTTCTAAGACGATGTTGTCTAATTGTTTGTTACAAGGCTGTCTCTGTTCTGTCGTTAGGGACCCTTTGGTATCCCTGGCCTCATGGGGCCTCCAGGACTGATTGGAGACCCTGGGATCATGCAGAGGCTGGGGCAGAAGGGTGAAGATGGGGGACAAGGGGGGCCGGGACCACCAGGTTTTGAGGGGACGGATGGGCGTCAAGGTGTTAGGGGACCGAAAGGTGTTCCTGGACAGAAAGGAAACCCTGTGAGTATCAGATACAATTCAATTTTATTTGTATAGGTCCAAATCATTACAGACGTTACCTCAGGAGACGGCAGTCCAGACCGCCTCAGAGACTAGAGAGGATCTTTTCTGCCTGTAACATGTAGTTGGATATCTTGATATGCAGATGATGATGTGCTGTTTGTCTCTAACACTGCTCTCAGGGGCCTCTTGGAGAGAAAGGTGACCAGGGCCTGTTCGGTGAGACTGGTCCAAGAGGACCGTTAGGACAGATGGGACCTTCAGGACCTCCTGGAATCGGGGCTCCAGGACCTCCAGGACCTAAAGGCAACTTGGGAGTCCAGGGACAGAGAGGAGATTCTGGAAAACCAGGTGAGAGAAGTGCAGGAGGTCAAACACATCTTATCATTTATTTATTTTAGGTGTATCATAAATCCTTTGTCCTCCACAGAGTTTATTTTCTGCAATAATCTAAAATCCCATTGCCTTATTGTGGAACTCGGAACCAACGACTTCAACTGGATGTTAGCTACATAATGATAGATATCACAACTTAGTTACAACAGAGTCGACATATATGGGGTCTTTTATCAAGCTAATTATTTATTTATTAATTTGAAGAAAAGATGGGTTGTAATTATAGACTGATAAAAACTAATCTGTTTGTTCATTCAGGGGAGAAAGGTTCTCCAGGAGAAATCAAAACCTCTGTAGGAGATCCAGGAGATAAAGGGGCCAAAGGTTTATCAGGAAACCCCGGACCTGAAGGTGAGACCGATCCACCTACTGTATCTTCTTTATTTTTGAAACAGGTGAACGAAACTACAAACTCAACTGATAAAATCATGGTTTTCCACAATGATGGATCTCCAACCTCCAACCTCTCTGTGTGTCAACTGCTTTATGTTCATTTATTTGCAATCATATCATCTGGCCTGCTTTATTACCTAATTTTGAGGCCTTGATGAATTTAAAGACTTTCTTTATTTCAGTGTTGTGCTTTCATGTTGCATATTCTTAAATCTATGAAATAACCTCAATTAGAGAGTAGGAGGAAGGGTTTATGGGGGCCAATATTAGCTCATTCCTGCCGGCGGCAGGTGTAAAAACAGATCATAGTATGTGTGATTGTTGAACTTTGACACAGACAGCAGAGGACAAATTACAGTGTGGCGGAAAGCCAAACAGAAAATCTACCCAAATTTGGCAGGTGTTTGGGACCCTGCCTGAAGCTCTCTCTCTGTATGTTTACCTGTTGACTCACCTGTTGTCTCTGCTGGTCTCAGGTGTGGCAGGACCTCCGGGCGATTCAGGGCATGTTGGTCCAAAGGGAGAAAGAGGAGATACAGGATTTTCAGTTCAGGGCCCTCCAGGCTTCCCAGGGGTCAAAGGTCAGCGTTGAATAAAACAAACAGTCAGCTGAAGGTTTCAATGAACTGAAGATGGTAATTAACAATACTACACTGTTTTTGTCCTGTCCAGGACTCAAGGGTGTTCCAGGAGCTCCAGGTTTGCCAAGTTTTGGTATCAAAGGACGGGCAGGGCCATCAGGGCCCCCAGGGATGCCAGGGACCAAGGTAACGTTGACTCTTAAAGACAGTTTTCAATGTAAAGAAAGTTCAGATTTGACACAGAGAAATTAGGTTCTGCTTGCCGTGTACAGATGCTCATTATGCATTAGATTACATCAGATGTAACTGTCATTAAACTGTTGTTGACAGTGACACCAGTGGCCGTTCAATGAACTGCAGTCAGCACCCTGTTGCCCGCACTCTGTACACAGTTTGTCATAATACATAAATTAGTATAGTGAATATTGTTAGCTATTATAGCATAAGTATTTGAAGAGTTGGGTTCAAGAACAGGAATGTGGCGCTTCACAACATCTTTTGCTGTCTTGCTGTTGGTCTCTGTGATTATAGGGGGACAGGGGTATCGGTTTTCCTGGTCGACAGGGTCAATCAGGCCCTCAGGGAGAAGATGGCTCTGTGGGGCCCCAAGGAAACCCCGGACCCCAAGGACCAGATGGATCCCCAGGACCTTCAGGACAAGAAGGACCACCAGGAGCCAAAGGTAGCTCATTTAAGATCTGATGAACAGTAGTCGGTCGGAGTCTGTAAACTTGGGTTTTCCTCTTGGTTCAGTTTTTCAATATCATTCTACTACCAAGGCGGAAAACCGATTCAACTGGACAAATGACACAGGTTTGAAAACACACAAAGTGAACTGGAGTGTCTCTTAGGTGACAGTGGTCTGGATGGAGTACGTGGTCCTCTTGGTTCTGTTGGAGTGTGTGAACCTGGAGCTACTGGACCTGCAGGAGCACCGGGACAGATTGGCATTATTGGATTCACAGGTAACAGCTCTACAAACTTATAGAGAATCTCTGTAAAACAGCTAACAATGAAGATTCCCCAGAAAATCCCTTAATCCATTTCCCTACTTGTCATGCAGGTCCACGGGGCCCAAAGGGTGTGCGGGGTGACCCTGGGCTGCAGGGTGTGGGATCCATGGGGACTCTGGGGCCATATGGAGCTCCAGGGTTTGATGGACCTCCAGGACTAGTAGGAGAAGTTGGACTGAAGGGCCTGAGAGGGAACAATGGGCAGCCTGGGAGTCCCGGTAAAGAAGTGTGCCAACACCTGCTCCTCCTGATCAATATATGTCTAACATTTCTGTTCAGAAACACTCCGTTCGCACAGCTAGTTTTGAACTGTTCTGAGCATTTTAACCAAAAATAAATTGGCTCCCAACCTGCAAAAGCAGGTTTTCCTATGGAACCAAAATGTGCATGTCATATCCTTCATATCGTACAAGTCCTGATCACAATGATTCTGCTCAAATCTGGTGGAACCGTGGGAACTTTGGTTTGATAGTGCCAAACGTACTAGCATCCTGAAGGGAACTGGTTCAAGAATCAGAGCCATTTGGTGGAAAAACACACACTTTTAACCTCTTTGGTCCAGGTTCAGACATACATCCCCTCAGGATGAATTGTGATAACTTTGGCGATCTTTTGACTTTTCATGTAGCACCATCATCAGGTCCACATTTTAAGTGTCCAGTACTTTGGTTTATGACGAAATACCCATCAGCCTCAGCTGGACTTTGTGTTTACTGCTAATTAGCTAATGTTAGCATGCTAACTGGCTAACCTAAGATGGCAAACAAGGTAAACTTTGTACCTGCTAAATGTCAGCATGTTAGCATAGTCATTGTGAGACCATAAAGCAGGGTATGCTTTAGGGCGGGGCTACCTTGTGATTGACAGCTCATTCATTCTCAGTGAGTCCGTCCAGCTCAACGCACCAAACTCAGATCAAACTGTCAAATAGTGCTGATC